CCTGCCTAAGGTGGGACTAGAACTCACTGTCTCCTGGCGATAGGCCCAAACCCACTCAGCTGTCTTTCCTAAGGTGGGACTAGAACTCGTGATAGGCCCCAAAATCACCCAGACAGTTTTCATGGTTAAGGCAGAACTAGAACTCATCTTCTCCTAGTGATTGCAGGCAGCAGATTGATAAAAGAGATTCCCCAAAGAATCCCTTATAACTGGGGTCCCCAACCTTTCCCGCTTGGGGGCCTGGCCCAGCACAGGAAGGGCAGGTGTGAGTGGCAAGCACATGCATGCACACACAGTACATTCGTGCGAGCGGCAAACACACGCGCAAAGCTCTGCTTTCACGCATGGAACTTCACACGTTAGTGGAGAGAGCTTACACTTGCACACGAAGCGCCACTCACACGGGGGCAAGCGTCTGCCACTCGCGCAAGTGGAGCTCCGCGAGCGGAATTTCACATACGCGCTTGGCCGTTTCTCCTGTGGCCCGGTTTCGAACAGGCCACAGTCCAGGGTTTGGGGACCCCTGCCTTATAAAGCTGCTATTTGTAAAGGAAATTGTTTGGCTTGTGTGGCAAACCCACGTCCCAGCAGCACTGAGCAAGCTCCACTCAGAAGGCCCATGCGCCAACAAGCGCCAACAGCACGGCAGACCCAGAGAGAGGTGCGGCAGTCCCGAGCACACAATGTATATCTTCGAGACAGAAATATACATTTTCTTTTGAGAGGGGAAAAAAAAAAGGAAGCAAAAGCGCTAGAAAGCCCAGTCTAGCCAATTACATACTCGTACCCTCCTGCGAACTCGGGTTCGGCTCGGCCAAGGAGGTGGGCGATGAAGTCGGTCTCGCAGCAGACGTGGATGTGGTGCTCGTGAGGGCAGCAGCGCAGGCCCTCGTAAAGGGTGGCGCAGTAGCCTTTCTCCTTGCTGCAGTCCAGCTCGCCGATCAGGATGGTGTAAGCCCGCAAGACTTTGTTTTTGCAGTCGGTGCAAAACCTAGTTCAAAAAAAAAGGGGGGGGAGAGGGGGAATGTCAGGATTCCAGCAATCACTTTAATCAAATCATGATTCTCGAGACAAACTTCAAAAAAATCCAAAGGATTCATTAGAGGCGACATACAGGCACTGCCCTGTATGAAGCCAACTCGCCTACGTCATTTACAGTCCCCTGTGACCCTGTTTCCCCCCTTCCCCCCTGAGCGTCTCATAAACCAGATTCTCCAACTGAGCACATTCACAGGCTGGGTGTCATCATTCACATTCTCCAATTAAATATATTCGCGGGAAAAATCTCTGGTATTTTAGTTACAGTCTTTTAAAGAGAAGAGTTGGAATGTACTTTCACTTTCAAACTGCTGCACTGCTCTTCCAGAATTTCCCCCCCACAGACACACTTTTTAATGGCAACTATTAAAACAGGCATAGAAATGTTTTATGAGTTGACAGGGGTATTATAGAATTTTGTTTTTTCTTAAAAGAGGAAAACAGAAAGACATTTTTTACGGGGCAAAGTACTTGATGGAAAGACATTCGCCAGATGCAGTTTTAATGGCGATCAATAATTGGATGTACAGGCAATCCTTGACTTACAACCATTTGTTTAGTACCGTCTGAAATTACAATGGCACTGAATAAACAGCAACAGCACTTAGACCAGGGGTGTCAAACTCGATTTCACTGAAGGTCACATCAGGGTTGTGTTTGACCTTGGGATGTGTGTGTGTGGGGGGGCAGGGGTAGGGGCGGCCAACTTGATGTCACTTGTCTTGGGGGCGCCTGAGGTGGCCAGAGTGCCAGTGAAAACGGGGTTCTGAGCTCCATTTTCGGCTGTGATGGGCTCTTGCAACCCTCTGCCAGTGAAAACGGAGCTCCGTAGGGCCACACGCAGACCTCCCGAGCTCCATTTTCACTGGAAAACGCTGTTTTCAGGGGAGCTCCACAGGCCAGATCTAAGCACCCCATGGGCTGGATCTGTCCCCCAGGCCTTGAGTGTGGCACCCCTGACTTAGACTTAAATACCGTCTCCTAGTGCTTTGGGATGGGATTCTCCTGGTTCGGACCGGTTTGGCTGAACCCCTTGCTCAGAAAATCAACTGGCAGAGAACCAGTTTGCTGCAACTATCATGTGCCCGCCCTGCCCCTGTGCTTAACCTACCTATATCATCTCAGCTGATTAGCGCGACACAGAGGATTGCTGCTTCTCCGCTGTGTTGAGCGCTGCACATGCGCATCAAGCGCGTGATCACCAAACTGGTTGTTAAACCTGGAAGATCCCACCCCTGGCTTTACAGCATTTTCTGAGTGGTTTACAATGTCAGCATCTTTCCCGCAACAATCTGGGTCCTGGTTTCACTGACCTTGGGAGCATGGAAGGCTCAGTCAACAACCATGAGCCCGTCAGGATCGAACACCACACTTACAGGCAGAGTTAGACTGCAGTTAGACTGCATTGTAACCACTGCGCCACCAGGTGATTTGCCCGGTGACCTGGCGACTCAACAGGGACTTATGATCGTTTTCCACACAACCATTGCAGCATCCCCGTGATCGCATGATCAAAGATGTGACGCTTGGCAACCGACTCGTATTTACGACGGCTGCAATGTCCCAGGGTCATGTGATCACCTTTTGAGACTTTCTGACCAGCCAAGTCAATGGGGAAGCCAGATTCACTTAACAACTGTTGTTACTAACTTAACAAGCGCAGTGATTCACTTAATGACTGTGGCAAGAAAGGTTGTAAAATGGGACAAAACTCGCTTAACTGTCTTGCACACTAATGGACATTTTGGGCTCAATTGTGGTCGTAAGTCAAGGACTACCTGTAATCAGCAGTTAGGTACAATGGCAGAGAATTTAGAAAGTAATACTGATTTCAACTCTCATTCTTTAGTATTTAGTATTTTTTCGTTCCATGAGATGTGGCCCATTTATTTAGGTAATGATAAACCACGGGGACAATTGATATAAGTATTGATGCTTAAAAGAGTTTTGTAATGATTGACAATTACTTCTCGGGAGGATACTTCATACAGCACTGTTTTTCACCTATCGATTTTTAGTATTTCAGGTTTTCCTTTTTTCATTTCATAAGATCGCGTGTGTTTACTTTAGATAACGATAAACCAAGGTGACAATCAATATAAACATCAGTGTTTTAAGAGTTTTGTAATGATTGGCAAATACTCCTCGAGGTGAAAAAGAGAATTGGGGCTTAATATTGTTTTCACTCACTGTTTTTAGTATTTTCCTTTTTTCTTTTTATAATATGTGCATTTATTTTAGGTTAGGATAGTGTGCTGACATCAATGGAACTATGAACACTGAGAGTTTTGTAACGATGGACAATTACGTCTCAAGACGATTTAATGAATTTAGTAGTAAATATTCATTGAATTACAGTATGTAATCTCTGAAATAGCAAATTTTAAGCTCTGACCATATTATTTACTTACTCATATTTTTTTTTCTTTTTCTTCCTTTTTTTGTTTACTTATTTTATTCTTTAAATGTTTAAGAGGAGGAGGGGAAAGACATCGAGAAGAGAGAGAAACATACACACTGCATGCTTTTTCTGGCTTTAACACACACACACACACACACACACACACACACACACACACATTCAAATAGGCTCTATAGGCATCTCTTGTGGTGTCCAATCCAACATGGTGAATCAAGTACAGGTAGTCTTCAACTTACAACAGTTCATTTAGTGACCATTTGAAGTTACAACGGCATTGAAAAAAAGTGACATGACCATTTTTCACCCTTACGACCATTGCAGCATCCTCATGGTCACATGATCCAAATTCAGATGATTGGCAACCGGCTCATATTTATGACCACTGCAGAGTCCTGGGGTCGCATGATCCCCTTTGGTGACCTTTGACAAGCAAAGCCAGGCAGATTCACTTAACAACCATGTTACTAATTTAACAACTGCAGTGATTCACTTAACAACTGTGGCAAGAAAGATCGCGAAGTGGGGCAAAGCTCACTTAACAAATTCCACAGTTAGCAACTGAATTTTGGGGCTCCATTGTGGCTGTAAGTCAAGGACTACCTGGAAAAGGGGTTTGTAGGTTCATGGGATGCTGCCACAGATTAAAAAAAAAAATGGTGTTCAAACATTAAAAAAATAGAAGCTTCTGTGTTGTTGTCGAGTCGGCTGAGTTTCCGAATTTTCGCAACTCCAAGGACCATAGGATGCCAGCCCCCCTGCACCCCCAATCCTCCACCGTCTCCTGGAGTTTGTCCAAATTCATGTTTGTTGCGTTGATGACACCATTTAAACAGGGGTGGGATTCTAATTGTTTAACAACCGATTCTGTAGGTGTGGCTTGGTGGTCATGTGACTGGGTGAGGCACCAAAATAAGCCAGATGTCTCCTGCTGCAGATAGGGTTTGGACTAGATGACCTTTGAGTTCCCTTCCGACCTGGGGTTGCTGTGCTGTTTCAAAGCATCCTCTGAAGCTGCGTCTAGTGCCAGGGTTTGTGGTCCTTCCTTCCTCTCCTTTTTCTCTCCCTCCCTCTATCCATTCCTCCATCCATATCTCATTCACTTTCCCTTCTTTCTTTCTCTCTTTCTTTCTTTCTTTCTTTCTTTCTTTCTTTCTTTCTTTCTCTTTCTTCCTTCCTTCTTTTCTTTCTGTCTTTCTTCCTTCCTTCCTTTCTTTCCCCCTTCCCTCCCTCTCTTTCTTTCTTTCTTTCTTTCTTTCTTTCTTTCTTTCTTTCTTTCTTTTCTTTCTTTCTTTTTCCTTCCTTCCTTTTCTTTCTGTCTTTCTTCCTTCCTTCCTTTCTTTCCCCCTTCCCTTCCCTTCCCTTCCCTCCCTCTTTCTTTCTCCTTCCTTCCTTCCTTCCTTCCTTCCTTCCTTGAAGGCCTCCCTGGAGCCTCCTGGCAGCCAAAACGGGGCAGGAGGGGCGCCAGATTCCCCCCCCTCCGTGCCCCATTTTTGCTTCCAGGAGGCCACCTTACACCTACCTGGGAGCCAGATGGGCCTCATGGGACTCCTGGTAGGCGCGGGGTAGACGGGGCCACCTGGTTGTTGGAACTACCGGTTCACCAAACTGGATGTAAAATTAACTTCCGGTTCGTTCGAACTGGCCCGAACCGGCTGAATCTCACCCCTGAATTTAACCATCTCATCCTCTGCTGTCCCCTTCTCCTCCTGCCTTCCATCTTTCCCATCATCAGGGTCTTCTCCAAGGAGTCCTCTCTCCTCATTAGGTGGCCAAAGTATTTGAGCTTCAGCTTCAGGATCTGTCCTTCCAAAGGAGAGTGCAGGCGGATTCCCTTAAAAGCTTCTATAACTGGATTCAGCTCCTTTGAATCCACCCTAGTGTCACCTTTGACGCACCTTTACTGACCACAAGGAGTAAAACGCAGAGGGGGAAGAGAAGGGTGCTCCCAATCCCAGCTACTCACCTGTGTTTTCGGAGGTAAGTTTCTAGGGTCTCTAGTAGGCAGTTGGAATCGATTAAGACTACTTCATCTCGACATTCCTGCGACATGAGTTCCCATATATCCATCCAGCAACCTCTGAAGTGGGGTAAAAAAAAAAAAGAATATTTATTTATTTGGGGAACGTATATGGCCATCCACCCCACCTGTTCTGATCTAGGCTTCACAAAATCACGAAGCAGACTCCTTGTCCCGACAAAACCCATTTTTTATTTGGCTAATGTGAATTCCTATCCATTCACATCCGGCAAAGTCCCGGCAAACATTCTTTCAAGGGTGAATTGCAACCACAGACCTTATCAGGCTTAGAGAGCTGCCAGGCCGATAACTTCCAAGCGCAACGTTGTACAAGAAAATACTTGGCAAGGATTTCTCTGAGAGGAACGAACAAATCTTCACACTAACTAAACAAACTAACTGTCTCCTGCAAACACCAGTCCCCTTTTGCTCCTCTTTATTCCCTATGGGAGGGGCCGTTCACCATCCACCTGAGCCTTTACTCCCAAGTCAACCCTTGTTCTTTAACTTTTCCCTTCTCCTAGCAGCTCTGTGCATGTGCACATTGGGAACAGGCTCCAGCTGTTCTTCTGCCCCACTGATCTCAGACTCCAAAGGCAGCCGATAACTGTCGGACGACCCTGGCCCCACCTCTGCCTCCGACGCAGAGCCCTTGTCCGAGCCTTCTCCAGACTCCAGGACTGGACCAGGTTCCTCCCCAACCTCCTCACTGTCCAAGTCTGCCAAGCCACAACATCACCCGAGTAATTCTAGGCTGCTTTCAATATTGAAAAGATATACCAAAAATATATATAAAATCTGTACAAGCTGGGAAAACAGACCCACATTCCACACAGCCGGGCAACGGGGGCTCCATCCCATCCCATCTCCATCCCACACACTTGGAGGTACCGAGTATGAAGCCGTATGAGAATTAAAAAACCTGATAATCAACTTTCACAAAACAATTTCCAGTGGTTTGCAAAAAGTTATTTTTCATCTACAGGCAGTCCTTGACTTGTGACTACTCGCTTAGGGACCATTTGAAATTACACCTGATCTGGAAAAGGGGATTTATGACCAGAAGCCAAAGTTTCATTGATCAGATGTCCTTGGTCGTATGACCACACTTTGAATGCTCAGCAACATGGGCACATTTAAGGCTGTTTCGAGCGTCCTACAGTCACCTAACCATGTTTTACAATTATTTTGCTGAAAAACGGCAATTTTTCCAATTTTCAGCAAAGCCCACCCACAATAGCTAACTGTGGGTTTGCTTCAGAACTGCTCCCCAAAAGGCCATAAACTTACATCAGCCACATAACCGACCCATTTTATAAATATTATAACTTATGACCATATAAGTAGTCCTCGACTTACGACTATTCATTTAGTGACTGTTTGAAGTTACAACGGCACTGAAAAAAGTGACTTCGGACTGCTTTTCACGCTTCCAACTGTTGCAGCATCCCCAGGGCCACGTCATCATGCAACTGGCATGTATTTATGATGGCTGCAGCATCCTGGGGTCACGAGATCCCCTTTTGTGACCTTCTGACAAGCAAAGTCAATAGGGAAGCCAGTTTCACTTAACAACCACATTGCTCACTTAATAAACATCGTGATTCCCTTCATAAACACTGGCAAAGAAAACAAAAATCGTAAAATGGAGCAAACTCACTTAGTAACTGTTCTGCTTAACAGCAGAAATGTTGGGCTCAGCTGTGGTCGTAACTCGAGGGTTACCTGTAACGGGCAGGCTCCATTACAGTCATAACTCAAGGACTACCTGTAAGTTTTTCAGCATTCATTTGTTTCATATCCCAAAGGTGTCCCCCCGTCCGTCCATTCCCCCCCCGCCCGCCCCAGGAGGCAAGTGGACTTCCTTGTTCTTTCTTTGAGGACGTTTTGCTTCTCATCCAAGAAGCTTCTTCAGCTCTGACTGGATGGTGGGGAACGGACTTCCAAAGAAAAATGGCAGACTACGGGAACCATTTGCACTTCAGTTTGAGATGCAAACAACATAAGACTCGTCCCCAACAGCCTGTGCCTGTCTTCACCAGTAAAGGGACACAAGGCAGAAAAGCATCCTGCAGCCAAGAAGGCTGCACACCCATTTGCACCACTCAGGTGACCCTGAGTACATAGATAAACCTCCAAGTGGCCTCGACAGCTCTCTAAAAAGGATGCAAATGACCAGCAGTCCGCAAGGAATATAAATCCTTCCACTCCCCACCATCCAGTCAGAGCTGAAGAAGCTTCTTGGAGGAGAAATGAAATGTCTTTAAAAAAACAAAACAAAACAAGAAAGTCCAGTTGCCTCCTGAAAAAAGCCCTTTTGGGACAACCACGACCTGGATGACGGAGAATCTCCATAGAGTTTGTTTGATGTAATCCATTCCTTCTCCATCTGCCTTCCTTATACCTACATTGGCCATCCTTCAAATGAACACACACACACACACACACACACACCCTTAATTTTCAAAAGGGGCTCTTTCTGTCAGTGCTCACCTCTTTTGAAAGACCCTTGATTTTTACCCACAACTGCCTGTTGAAAACCATACGAAAGTAGGTTTACTTGCTTAAATCTCTGAGGTTTTTGCAGTCTTTCTGTTACTTTAGCCCATGTGGGTAGAGATGTTCCTCAACTTACAAACATTTGTTGAGCAACCGCTCGAAGTTATGACGGCATTGAAAAAGGGACTTATCAATGTTATGACCCTTACAGCATCCCGAGTCAAAGGATCAAAATTAAGGTGCTTGGCAACCAGCATGCACAGGTAGTCCTTGACTTACAACAGTTCATTTAGTGACCGTTCAAAGTTACAACAGCACTGAAAAGGGGAACCTACGACCATTTTTCACAGTTGCAACCTTTGCAGCCTCTGCCATGATGTGTGATCAAAAATCCAGATCCTTGGCAAATGGTTTGTACTTATGACCGTTGCTGTGTCACCTGATCAACCTTTAGCGACCTTCTGACAAGCAAAGTCAATGGGGAAGCCAGATTCACTTAACAACCGGTATACTGACTTATCAACTGCAGTGATTCACTTAACAATGGAGGCAAGAAAGATTGTAAAATGGAACAAAACTTTAAAAAATGTCTTACTTAACAGAAATTTCAGGCTCAATTGTGGTCATAAGTCGAGGGCTACCCGTATTTATGACGATGGCAGGGGGATCATGTGACTGCCAGTTTGAGACCTTCCTGACCCGCTTCAAGCAAGCGAAGTCAATGGGGGAAGCCGGATTCACTTAACGACCGCATAATTCATTCGACAACTGCAGTGATTTGCTTAACAGCCAGGGCAAAAACAGTTGTAAAATTGGGTGTGACTCACAGAATTAACCGCCTTGCTTAGAAATGGAGATTCTGGTGCCAGTTGAGGTTGTAAGTGGAGGACTACCTACTGGTAACTTCAAATGGCTCAAATGGCCAGATTCACTTAACAATTGGGTTACTAACTGAACAAGTGCAGTGATTCACTTAACAGCTATGGCCAGAAAAGTCGTAAAATGGGGCAAAACTCACTTAGTAGATTTCTCATTTAGCAACATAGAATTTTGGGCTCAATTGTGGTCGTTAAGTCAAGGACTACCTGTATCTATTCACATTTACGTGCTTTCGAACTGCTAGGTTGGCAGGAGCTGAGGTGAGGATGGGAGCTCATCCCATCCCGCGGCGTTCGGGTCTCGAACCCAGGCGGCTGCCGGCTTTCCAGCTGAGAAGCGCAGCGTCTTTACCCACTGAGCCATCGCGGCGCCGTATTCAAGACACAAACAATTCAATATTTTCTGGTTTGGTTTACCTGCTGGCTCCCTGGAAAGGTCCACAGTAGAAAGTGATCCTACATTTGCTCTCCTTCCTGTCTTCTTCGCTAGATCTCTTATCTGCACCTAACTTCTCTGTGCTCGGGGTGCTACCGTTCCCTTCACTAGGGTATACAGCATTAAAAGAAGAATTCAGAGGTATTACCACGGTGTAAATGGATGTGTTTCTTTTGTGGATCCTTAGGCCTCCCTGGACCCTTTCATACACCCACCTTTAAAACCCTCATAAAACAGAAACTGGATTATGTCCAGAGCTGGGAATTCAGCCGGTTCGGACCAGTTCAGGCGAACCAGTAGTGGAAATTTGGACTAGTTTTGGAGAACCGGCAAATACCGCCTCTGGTGGGCCCGCCCCCCCGCCTCCCCCCCCTTTCCTGTCCTATATTCCCTTGTTTTTTACCTCAGCTGATTTGCACGGAAGACCGGATTGCTGCGCCTCAGCTGAGCTAAAAAAAACAGCTCACCTCACTAGCGCTGACACAGAGGACGGTTTTTTGAGTGCTGCGCTATGCGAAGCATGCTCTCATGATAGAACTGGTAGGAAAAAATTTGGAAGCCCACCACTGATTATGTCCCAAGAGCAGAACAACCAGGCCTCCAACTGTGGCTATTGTAGCCTGCTAATGTAATCGACAACTATCCAAAAAAGGGACGAACTGAAGAAGCTTCTTGGATGAGAAGTGAAACGTCTTCAAAAGAAAAAAAGACAGAAAGTCCAGTTGCCTCTTGAAAAAAAAAAAGCACCTTTGGGACAAAAACAGACAAGGTCCCACAACAGCATCAAAGGAGCCACACGGGCTTAGAACGAACAAACAGGACCATTAAAAGAAGGGGGGAAACCCCCCCAAATAACCCTGGAAATTTGGTAACCACTGAACAGCCCCGTAAGCGTGAATTATGACGCTTAAAAACCTATCTCCTTGCACCTGAAGAGGAGTTAAAATTCAGTTTCCACTAAAAGAGACTGAAGGGAAAAGTCAGAGCTTGCTGTATACAGGTAGTCCTTGACTTATGATGGTTCACTTAGTGATCGTTCAAAATTACAACGGCACTGAAAAAAGTGACCTGACCGTTTTTCACACTTACGACTGTAAAAGCATCCTCACAGTCACAGGGTCAAAATTCAGACACTTGGCAACCGACTCATATTTATGATGGCTGCAATGTCCCAGGGTCATGTGATCCCTTTTCTGACAAGCAAAGTCAATGGGGAAGCCAGATTCACTTAACAACCATGTGACTAAACAACTGCCGCAATTCACTTAACTGTGGCGAGAAAGGTCGTAAAATGGGGCAAAACTAACTTAACAGCTGTCTCACTTAGCAACAGAAACGCTGGGCTCAACTGTCATCGTAAGTCAAGGAATCCCTATACATTGAAACCCTTGCAGTTGATTTCTCTTTTTAATAAAAATTGACTGTAATTTTTATTAAAGTTCATACGGGAAGTCTGAGATCCTCAGAAAATGTTTTGTAGAGGTGCTTTTTTCAAGAGGCAACTGTCTCAGAGTTATTTGTTGGAGCGGAGGTTTTCTGGAACGCTGTCATTCTGCTTTTTCTTTGAAGATATTTCGCTTCTCATCCAAGAAGTTTCTTCAGCTCTGACTGAATGGTGGATAACTTGCATGGAACATAAATCCTTCTATCAGGATTCCGGCAGTTACCCCAATTAAATCATGAGTCTCAAACCAAACTTCCAAAACTAAACAGGATTTATTGGGAGACAACCAGAGGTGTTAGTCAGCAGGTTCTGACCAGTTCTGGAGAACCAGTAGCGGAAATTTTGAGTAGTTCGGAGAACCGGCAAATACCACCTGTGACTGGAGATTTTACAGTATCCTTCCCCTGCCACGCCCACCAAGCCACGCCCACAGAACCGGTAGTAAAAAAAATGGACTCCCACTACCGGAGTCAACATGTCGGCATGACCTGGGTGTAGCCGACTCTGAGACACGTAATTCACTGGGTTTTCCCCCCACCCCCTGGGTGTATCATAATTCATATTCTCCAACGAAACACGTCCATAGCCAAGAGTCATCAGTCATGTTCTCCAATTAGATTTTTGCCTGGCAGAAACTCCAGTCACCTAGTTACAATCTCTGAAAAACTACGAATGGAATACACTTCCGATTCCAAACTGCTACACTGCTCTCTTTCAAATCCCTTTCTCCCCATTCTCTTTCTGTTGGCAACTTTAAAACGGCCATAGAAATGTTTTATGAATTGTCTCTTGAAAAAAAAGCACCTTTGGGACAACCCTGACCTGGATGACTGAGAATATCCATAGAAGTTTTGCAGAGGGGTAAAAAAATCGGTTTTATATCCCCAATGCTGTCACTTGCAATTGCAGGCACGCACACCCCAAAAATAAACATAATGCATGCCCTGATACAACTTGTTTGAGGGGGTAAAAATATCACTTAAATGGATTAAATTGCTAGTTTTGACTCGTTGTGCTGGCTGGCTAGGGAAGATCCCCACTAAGACAGTGCCACCAAGAGGCAATTATTGGTGCTAACATTCACCATGGGTTTTTAAGCTCCTAATTTTTCAACCTATACCAGGTTATACTATACTATAACCTTTCAACCTATACTATAACCTTAAACACTCAAAGAGCTCTTTGGACCTGTTTCCCCACAGAAAACACCGGGAGCCCCAACACCTGGGTGCATGTGGCAAACTCAACATCACTCCCACCCAGTAACATGACCCCCCTCCTCCACGCCTACCCAGGTTTTGTGGCTCCCCGTGTTTTTTGTGGGAAATGGGTCTCTCTTTCTCCCTCCCTCCCTCTCATTTCTGTTATTTTGAGTTTTACCTTCTCAAGCCAGGCGAGGAATGACTGGGAAGGTGAGGGGCAAGGCCAGTCAGCGGTGGGATCACCCAACAGGGAGCAACAGCAGAAGGCCCAAAGAGCTGCATGCGGCTCCGGAGCCGCAGGTGGCTGACACCCAACCTATACCAACACGGCCTTGGTAGAGAAAATCTGTTTTTGACTCTGCTTTTTTAATGTTTCGGTTTGATGCCAGCAGGCACAAAAGCACCATTATTTTGTCCATTTCTGCTTTCTCTCTACACCCAGCAGTTTTACCAACTAAGCCTGCCGAGGGGTGTCCTAAGGTGTGCCCGTACCCGTTTCATGCGTGTGCTTTTTATTAACACTTACCCCAAGGGTTTCGGTTTGTGAGTGTCCAAAGAATGCAGTTGGCACCGCTTGTTCTTCTTACTTTTCGGAATTGCATCAATCATTTCATTTAATTTGGACCTTTGGGGAGAAGAAAAGAAATGGGGAAAAAAATGTTAAAAAAAACCCTTGAAAAATCCGTTCTGTCAGCTTTGGAAGCCATATTAGCACCAGACGCTTCCACACTGCCACATTTTGAGCCTGGGAAAATGGGAGGGGGGAATTTCTTGGAGTGTATGTGGTTAGACATAATAGCATTCTTTTTCTAAGTCAAGGTCATGTTATTTCTGCACCTGGTTGAGGAAACGGCTCAAGTTGGAACAGATGGTGATTGGGGCATGTGATGCCATGAGAGGTGCAGGAGGCAGATTTGTATTTTTTTACTTATTGCAAGGAAACCCGAAACTTTTAGATTTGGGATTTCCCAGATGTGCCAGTTTACTACCCAAATAAAAAAGAACTTTTGGAGAGGATTTGTGTCTCGGAGTTATTTGTTGGAATGGAGGTTTTCTGGAATGCTGACACGTTCAACATTATATTTCCCATCCAACATGATTTTGTATGAGGGCCCATTATAGATGCTCTTCCATAAATTTTCATTGTGCAGGAAGTCCTCAACTTACAATAGTTCATTTAGCAACTGTTCAAAGTAATGAAGGCCCTGAAAGAAGTGACTTTATGACCATTTTTCATAAGCACCCCCCTGGTCACATGATCAAAATTCAAACGCTTCATATTTATGGCGGTTGCAGTGTCCCAGGGTCATGTGATCCCCTTTTGCAACCTTCTGACATTGTGAAGACAACGGGGAAGCCAGGTTCCCTTAACAAACGTGTTACTAACTGAACAACTGCAGTGATTCATTTAACAACTGTGGTAAGAAAGGTCCTAAAATAGGGCAAAACTCACTTTGTAAGCATTTTGCTTAGCGACAGAAATTTTGGGGCTCAGTTGTGGTTGTAAGTCGAAGATTGCCTGCATTTTTAACAGATTTGGAAGGGACCTTGGAGGTCATCTAGCCCAACCCCCAACCCAAGCAGGAGAGACCCTACACCATTTCTGACAGATGGCAGTCCAGTGATGAAAGCCTCCAGTGATGAAGCTCCCACAACCTCCGAAGGCAACTTCTGTTCCACTGGTTGATTGTTCCCACTGTCAGAAAATTCCTCCTTACATTATTTGTATGATGTCGACAGCTATCTTGGGATTGCGACTAGCGTGTGGTTTAGGTGTAGTAATCTGTGGGTAAAGGAGTGGCACAATCCACACAGGAAACCAGAGTTTGCCTATATCAAAACACACCAGGGTGCAGATGGAGGTTAATCTATGGTTATTTCTCTCTTCCAAACTCCGGCCAACTCTGGGCTGGCCACAAATGAAGGCCCCTCTAGCCACCATGTATCTAGGGTACTTTTTCTACTCTGCATCGAAGGTGAATTGGGCAGCCTCTTAAATTTGACAGGAAAAGGATGGGCAATTATGACCCTTTTATAACCTTTGTAACAATTCCCAGAATTCCCGGACCAGTGCACAACTCGTAAAGGGGCCATAGCTGCTCACCTTTCTGACAGAATGAATATATACGTAAAAAGATGGATGGGTGGATGAAAAAAAAATCCTCCCACGAGGGATAGGGCAAGACGCTGGCCCTCAGTGATCTTACCCATGCACGTAGAAAAGCGTGTAAAGCTTCTTTGCATCCCTCATGCAGCTCGGAGTGACAGACAGGACTCCCTTGGACCCGACCGTGAGGGGTTCGAGAGCGGGGTTCCCAGACTCCACCAGCTGAGAAAAGAGGCGCTCCACGCTACGGCGGCAGCCGACGCAGGGGACGAGCTGAGAAAGGGCGCTCAGGACTTCACGTGACGTCACCATCATGGCGATGCTCAAATCTTGCTGCTTCAGCATGCTGTGCCTCTGCAGAGGGAAGAGAGTAAGGAATTATTTAAAGTAATGGTTCAGCGCTACAGCGACCGTCATAGGTAGGAAAGTATAATTTGTTTGTTGGTTTGCAAAATTTATACAAGCCACGCACCTTAACAGAATAACAAAGAGTTGGAAAGGACTATGAGAATATGGTAAACCAGAAAGGATTATTGTCAGGGTTCTGGCAGTTACTCCAATTAACTCATAAAACATTTTGTATACATGTTTTATAGTTGACAATTACATTGTAAAGTATCTGCAATGAGATTATTATATGATGATTAAAAGGAGGGAATGAAAACTTAATAAAATTCCATAGGTAAAATTTGGTTAAATGGAAACAAGGAGGAAATATGAAATGGTTATAGGAATATCTCTGGAAGAAATATAAGATTACAAATCTTATATTTCTTCCAGAGATATTCCTATAACCATTTCATATTTCCTCCTGGGGGGAAATACCATGTGGATCCTGAATATATTAGTTTATTTTATTCTTTTTTTGTTGTTTATTGTACACTGGCTTTGAGAAAGTTAAAGAAGATAATGTAAAATAAAATAGGTGGTAAACTGGAAATGAAAATAATAGGGGATAAAGAGTGGAAAATATATGTGAGGATGAAATGCTTTTGATGTTGGATTAATGAAAATATGAAGTGAGAACTTAAAGATCAATGGAATAGATAATGATTTGATATGAAATTAGATAATAAAGTTGGAAATGTAATTATGACTATGCATGAATGTTGTAGCTTGGAACCACGTTGCTCACTTGAAGAGATGTGTAAAAAATAAAAAAAAACTTTTATTTAAATAAAAAAAGAGTTGGAAGGGACTTTGGAGGTCTTCTAGTCCAACCCCCTGCTCAAGCAGGAGACCCTATACCATTTCAGACAAATGGCTGTCCAATCTCTTCTTAAAAACTTCCAGTGTTGGAGCATTTACAACCTCTGGAGGCAAGTAGTTCCACAAGTTAATTGTTCTGATTGCCAGGAAATTTCTCCTTAATTCTAGGTTGCTTCTCTCCTTGATTAGTTTCCATCTATTGCCTCTTGTGCTACATTTGGGTGCTAGGGAGAATAGGTTGACCCCTTCTTCTTTGTGGCAGCCCTTCAAATATTGGAACCCTGCAATCACCCTTTTCATTAAACTAGACATGTCCAATTCCCGCAACAATTCTTCATATGTTCTAGTCCCCTAATCATCTTTGGTGCTTTTTTCTGCACTCTTTCTAGCATTTTAACATCTTTGTATCGTGGTGACAAAACTGGATGCCACATACCATCTTAAACAAACAACAATATCTTATTTATAGAATATATAAACATCACAAGCTATATTTATAGCACTTAGAAAGAGCAGTAGCGCTTAAGACGCATACTGCTTCACGGTGTTACACAGCCCTCTCTACGCGGGTTTATAGTCAGCCTATTGCTCCCCCCAACAATCCGGGTCCTCATTTTACCCACCACGGGAGGACGGAAGGCTGAGTCAAACCTGACACACACCCCCACTGCCAGGATGGAACATCAGCTCTTCATAAACCTTAGCCTCCAGGCCCCCTAATGATTTTTTGTGAATTGAAAAAACCCAGCGCTTGGATCTCGTAAGGGAAGATACTACTGTACCTGAATGAACTGTTTCAACTGGCCTCCACTGTGCTGATGTCCATCGAGGTTTAGCATGTTATCAGGAAATTCCATCACCATCTGCATGAGGAGGACAACATTGGCAGGTGAGTTCTGGGGTCAAGGTGGAAGTGGACACTGGAGATCACGCACACGCACACACACACACACACGAGCGTCTATGGAGATTCTCAGTCATCCACGTCATGGTCGTCCCAAAAGTGCCGTTTCTCAAGAGGCAACTGGACTTTCCTTTGTTTTCCCTTGAAGACCTTTCGCTTTTCATCCCAGAAGCTTCAGCTCTGACTCGGACGGTAGGGAATGGTAGGATTTATACTTCTTCGGCCTGTAAACCTTCAAGTGGCCTCAACGACTCGCTTAAAGGATGCAAATGACCAGCCGTCTGCAAGGAGTATAAATCCATCCATCCTCCACCATCCGGTCAGAGCTGAAGAAGCTTCTGGGATGAGAAGCGAAACGTCTTCAAAGAAAACCCAGAAAGTCCAGTTGTCTCTTGAAAAAAGCACCTTTGGGACATTCACGCAGAGAATCTCCATAGACATCTAGTGAGCAAACGTCCTTCCTTAGACGCAAAGCCAGTTAGGGCATCTATGTCAAAATTGAACAGGCCTCTCTCAACAGGGTGATTGGGGGGGGGGGGGAGAGAGGAAGGAACATAACATCATCTATCTCCAGTGTTCAACAGAGTCCTTTCAGCAGTTCCAAGAAGGCTCCCCACCCATTTGCACCACTCAGGTGACCCTGAAGACACAGACAGACCTCCAAGTGGCCCCAATGATTCTCTAAAAAGGATGCCAATGACCAACTGTCTGCAAGGAATATAAATCCTTCCGATTTAGGTCAAGGGTGTGCAACTTTGACAACTTTAAGACTTGTGAACTCACAGAATTCCCCAGCCAGCTATAAAGTTGCCAAGGTTGCATTCCCCTTATCTAGGTGGTCATTAAGAGTCAATACCAATTTGATGGTGCATCACCCATCCATCCATTCACCCACCTACCCACCCACCCATCCATCCATTCACCCACCCACCTACCCACCCATCCATTCACCACCCACCCATCCATTCACCCACCTACCCACCCATCCATTCACCACCCACCCATCCATTCACCCACCTACCCACCCATCCATTCACCCACCCACCCACCCATCCATTCACCACCCACCCATCCATTCACCCACCCACCCATCCATCCATTCACCATCCACCCATCCATTCACTACCCATTCATCCATTCACCCACCCATCCATTCAACCACCCACCCATCCATTCAC